AGTAAGTAAATAGATCATAACAATTAATAAGACATATGATTTTATCCTCAAATGGCAGGCAGTAGAGAGTATACATAGAGTACTTCTAACAGAAACGTTTTAGGGCGTTGTTATTAGTGGGCCGATTTTGGTTTTCTTTATGTCAAGTTTTATGTTTCGTCAAGACCTGTAAAATGATAACAAACTCGACTATACTTGTCATTAGAAAATTTTGAGCCACCCCCTACCCCCACTACCCTAAAGGCAAAATTTTCAAAACTGACCATAATTATTGTAGCCCCTCATATCTAAAGAAGGTTGCCGCAAACAGATTTCAAATATCTCAAATGGTTGAAAAGTTAAGTGGGGGTGCAAGTTACTTATCAGCCACCCTGTATATGCATAATTTACTTTATTTCCTGGCCTGTTAATACCAAAGTGGTAAAAAGGTTAAATATGAGATTGTGAGAGAAGATTAAAGGCCATTAAAATTCAATAAATCAATTTGTTAAATTGATTCTTGCACTTGTGGGACTTTTTCTGGAATTTTCTAAACCAATAAATTACCTACACTACAGATATGGGGGTGAATTATAACAATAAGTATCACACAATATTCTTTATTTAACAATTAACACATTCAAATGTCATCAGTCAATAACATGTTTTAACGTGATTGAGTCGATTATAAAATCTTGATAAGAGTTGAAAGTTGATCAGGTGAGTTTAAAATAACGCGACTAATTAACAGGAAGATTGATTACATTATTTTATATACAGTATGTGCCAAAATGAACAGTACTGAAAATGAATAAAATATTATTACAGTAACTTACTGGTTATTTTGGCACTTACATGTTATACACAAATTATATTTTTAATAGGTACCATTATCTAATGAAGAACATAACAAAAGGATAAATGTCAGGCACTTATGGTGTTTCTTCTTAAAAGGAGACAAATTAATTAGTACAGATGACTTGGGTTTGACATTCCATCCCCATGTTAAAGTTGTTACCAGGTTTTTAATCAAATTTGTCTTATTTGATGTGAGCCACCTACAGATTGTGCTGATTTAAATTGCTGATTTCTGCCAAATGCAAGATGGTTTTTACCAAGTCAAACTGATTGAATGATTTATTATGAGCCATAGCAACTGTTATGACCGAGCAACTATGTCAGTAAAAAAATTTAAGGTACCTACAAAATAGAGTTTTAGACACTAGCGCAATCTGTGACTGGCTCACACAACTACATCCATTCTTAGTAAAAAATTGGCGACAGCTGGTCCATATAGATGGGATGTCTTCGTAAAACTAAATTGAGTAAAACTAAATAAATTCCACCTTCATTTCTCAATTTTTTCCACTGAAATTGAAAAATTAACCTAGTTAATTATTTTTCTTACACTAAAGAAACATTAAAAGACAAAACAACTTTTCAGCAGCCACATTAAGTCATATTTTCAAATCACTCATAAAAACATGAAACATATATCAAAAGAAAAATGAATTGCAGGTTACATAAATAAACATAGCCTATTCAAAATTTTGTATCAGGCTTAACCTACAATAACTGTAAAATCTTACAAAAGATATTTAAAGTTAGAATTAATTTGAATAATTAGAGTTTTTGTTCCTGATATAGTTGAGAAATGAGAAGTCATAATATGCTATTAAGCTTGTAGTTGAGCAAATTCAGGTAAATGTATGACAGTAGTCAGTGCTGTATCAGTAAATGTATAAGCGATTATCCTTAGTGATACGATTATTTGGCCTACATGTCTTGCAATCCCTATTTCACAATTCCAAATTTCGCATCAGGATTCAAGTTGAATTTACATTTGAAATATATTTCAGTAAATTATATTACACTGATAAAAGTCATTTGACACTTTATGCAATTACAAATTTTAAGGTGAGAAAGATGGGTAAAACATTGGATACAGTCAAACATTGCTACAACAAATTTGTTATTTGATTGATGTTGAATAACCCACTTTAACATCAACCAAACAAACAAAACGGGGGGTTTGGTTCAGTCCCCGGCACATCCACTAAACATTTATCCCTCGTAACTCTCTCGTGAAATGTCACTGGCGTTGAAAGAAAAAAAATAGGATTTAGTTTTTGAAAGGAGAAATTCCAAACTCTGGTCTTAAGTTACTACGATACTACCTGGTTACTATTTCAACCAAAATTTTTCGAAAGCAACACTAATTGGTAACCCAATGAAAATTGTATCTGTGTAAAGAAAGTACTCTGACCACTCTTCTACTTAAACAAAATTTTGCTTTGTGTAGAAAATGTTGTACATAGTCACAGTATTTTTAATCTATCTCAACTTAGGGAATTTGTAAAAGAAATTGCAGAGAAATTGCATTAAATAAATAGCATGTCCAATGAGATTATCTTACTCGGAATTACAGAATGGTGCCATTTGCAGCTCTGTAGGTGATGTAGTACGCTTCCCTGTGTGTTTAGAAAATGTTATAAATCATTGCTCTCACCACATGCAAGATAATGTCATTCATAGCCAGATGCCGTAAGGTCTGCCGTTGTCAAAGCATTGTCCTCAAGCAATGAGTGAGGGTAAAATGTGGGAATGGGTTAGGGAGTGGTAAAGTGGCAGTGCACACTTTTCTTCTGTGAGAAGTCTGGGTACCCATCAAAAATACAATTTCTTCCGAGACAGGCCTTTTTACTCCACATACCCATTCCTGCACTTAGCCCTCTATGATTGCATTAGAGCCATAAACTTCAGTCACTGGTGATGAAAGTCTGCAGCCGATATGTTTCTCGCAGTCAAAAACCATGTCACTGACCTTATCTTACATGTGGCAGGAGATTCAATCATTTGAAATATTTTCTAGACACACAGCCAAGAGTACACGTCAGCTACAGAGCTGCAAATGGTGCCGTTTTGTTCACAAATAATGCCTGTAAGTGGTGAGCCAAATATTTACATTGTACACATGACCCATTAGCAATAACAACCCTTACTTAAAAAACAAGACTCGGATAAATAAATTTGACATAAATGACTTGTAAAATTATTAGTAAGATATTTTAGTAAATTGGTAGAAATTCCTTTTTTAGGCTATGGTTTACCTGCCGTTTGTTGTCCCAATTATCCGTCACTAAGGAACGGAGGTAAGCCATAGCCTAAAAAGTCATACTTAGTCCTGGGGCTATGAGAATGAATATTAATAGAAATTCCATCTGCATGGATTTACCTGAAAACCAATTTTTTTTGTCGATGATACAACGTAACTGAATGAGCCTGTCACAAGTGTGCTACCATCAAAATATTTAAAATTCTGTTTTCTCTTAGTATACTGTACTAACGATCTGACAAAAACCGGCTGCAGCAATGTTGCATAAACTAAAACGTTGAACACGGAAAATAATTAAAGCTATGAAACATGCATAGTTTTATGGTAATGCCGTGGTATGCAGCGTATTAAAACAATAAGGAGGCAATGCAGGTGCATAAAGCTTTATTTGAATCTCTGAATACAGGCAAAAGGGCTCGTCTCCTTGCATTTGCTATTAGGTTGAGTCCTACCAAACAGTTATAACTCCCGTCGTCCGCTGGGAGGATCATATAACACGAAGGTCCGATAACCTGAGATCGAGACTGCTATACTAAGGCTACCATTGTTCCTGTGACGGAAAAGATGCCTCAGTTTACAGTAAGTTGTACCATAAATAAAACATACTCCCTTAGTAGATTTCCCATCCTTATGGAACAGCTGAAGCCAATTTTATCGTTAGTTCTGTCAGGTGCACTAAAGAGACCAGCTGAAGCCAATTTTATAGTTAGTTCTGTCAGGTGCACTAAAGAGGTTGTGTTTTGTTTACCATTTGTTTCTTGTTATTTCAGGAATTTGAAACCCCGTTTAACCTCGTAAATCGATATAATCATGAACAATAACTCATCCTTTAGTTATATAACCAAACAGTAAAACTCAAATCATGAAATTAACTATGAAATAATAGAAACAAAATTTTAACTAGACACGAAAAACAAGCTTCAAAATTTACAATGGGATGGGAAGTCTACTTGTGTTGGTTAGTCTATGGTTGTAATGGTTGTACTCAAGAGCTTCTCCAGATTAAAAAGTTTGGGTGCAGGCCAACTACAGAAATAATTAATTAGTAGCAACTCATTCTTTCAACACACTCGTTCAATTTAACTACGTCCAACCAAAGAGAAGTAACAGAGGAAACACTCATTGGTACACTTGTGTAACACTCAAGTGGTGTCTAGCACTAGTGCTGGTGTCTAGGGCCAAGTCCAACACCGCCCCTCTTATCCTCTTATACTACAACGGTCACTGTGGAGGAAGACCCTGTGCCCTGTGCGATAGGAATTTCTGCACAGTGCTCGCCGATCAGGCTCCTCCTCGCTCGTCACAAGTATATTTCCGGCACAACATACCAGAGCTGAAAAGCGCACGGTCATCCCATTTAAATGTGTTTCCTCTGTATAAGTCTCTGTGATCCACATCTTAATTATAAAACTGACTACATCTTAGAACGGAATTTATGCTAGAATGGTTTGGGCACTTGTGTCTACTATATGTTATTCTTTTCCTTATTATAAGGCACGGTAGATTTGATTTTTTTTACTGTTTGATTGTAAAACTACATGAAGCTATTGTTTATAAGAAGGTCATTTTAAGTGATTAAACTAGTTTTTAAATAGGTATTGAAAACACACCCTCTATATGAAACAGACAAAATCAACATCAATATTGTCTTCAGCTGACACGAAAGGATGATAAACTTACAACTGAATGTGTTTTATCTATAAAGTAGGCCATTACATTTTCTAGACTAATTGCACATCGGCAATTGTCAGTCAACAATCTTAACTCAATGTGAGTAAAATTCTAAGCATATAAATAACTAATCTAAAATCACCTAAATCCCGTAAAAAATAAATAAAATCGCCTATAGTACAAAATTATCACTAGCCTAAGTCTACTAACAAATATGTTCAAATATACATTGTAACTAGTTACTCGATTCAGTACTGCTTCTTCTGAAGACATTGTGGAACCCACTTTTTGAGTCATCGATGACAAAAGGGCAATCAAAAGGAGCACATATGGAAGAAGCTCTTGAATCTTCATTGGCAGATGGAAAGGTGATTTCGTACGATGTGTCTTCAAAGTCAAACATAACTTTGTCTGTAGACTGTCCAGCTACTTTGGCAGACAGTTGATGCCAATGTTCCATTATGGACTCTGGCAAAGAAGTGCTTGTACCACTGCAACTTTCTTGTTCCCAATGCGGAGCGAGTGACGGAGGTGATGTAGAATCTTCTACTTCCCCTTCATCAGCTGCCCAGTGAGGCTCTAACTTCGGTGGTTCTAGACACACGATGTTTGGTAATAGTTTCTCATCATCTCCCCCACTTGTAGAAAGTCTGTACAATTGCAGCATCCGATTGACAGGTTCCTCCGCCACAACCTGATTCACCGGCGTGTTCTCGACAGATAGTAACTGCCTATGACTAGTTTGCCTTTCAACGCTTTTATCACCACAAATTTGCTCTTTAATCTTGTTTTCCTTGTTTGTTTCATTCTCTCCATCAGTCTTTACAGAAAAATTAGATTTCACACTATACAATTTGCCTGAAATTGGAGTTCCACTAGAGTTTTCAGTGTCTGCAGAATACTCTTCGGAGAAAACAGATTTATCCGGAGTGTCTTTGAAGGAACTAGATTCGCTCGAAAGTACACTGGCCCTTCGGTTCGAAATGGCTTTTGTTAATTGAATTCCAGGAGATACAGTATTTGTTACATTCTTTGATTTATTTGGGGTGAGTTTTGCTTGACTATCATTAGAGGAAACACTTTTGGTTGATTTTGCTTTTCTTGATCGGGTCTGTGGTGATAAAAATTCTGGCGAGTCTGGTAAGGGTTCACTGTGTTCCGCTTTACTTTGACTAGAGCTTGCAGAACCTGTGGACTCAGCATCCTGAGAAATCTGTCTACAAGTTGTCTTCTTCTTTGGTGATTTGGTAGATCTAAGACTACGCTGGGAAGGTTGTAAATCAACAGAATCTGTTTGCTCAACCTGATTCTCTACATGAACTTTGACTTCTGCACCTGGTTCAGAGTCCTGAGAAATTTTGGTTTTTAACCCATTTGAGACTCTTCTTTTTAGGCGTGGTCCTAAACTCATCAAGTGTTCACCATCACTGCCATTTTGTAGGGTATTATGTGCTTCTGGACTAATTAACGGGTCATTGCTATCAACCTTTTTTGCAAGTTTCTCACTCGATAGTTTATTACTATACAACTTAGCCGTTTGTGTTGTTGGGGGTGAAAAGAGATGATGTATTGGTTTATTGCCAATTACTTTAGTATCAGTTGATACGCTCCTAGTGATTCGTCGTCCTCCTGAAGACTCAGTAATCTGGTAACTAGCAAAAGATGAAGCAGTGGTAGTTTCCAAAACTGAACTTGAGCTAGAGTTAGCTTCAGATCCGTTCTGACCACCACTAGGTGAGGGAACATTGTTAGTGTTTGCTTCACTAGAATGTTTTATAAGGTTAACTTGGCAACTTTTAAGTGGTGATACTGTTCTAAAACTAACCTTTTTCGAGGGAGTTTGCGTATCTTGTCGAGTATATTGTTCTTTTTCTGCTGGACTGCCTTTGTTCACTACAGGACATTGTCTGCTAATCCCACACAAACCCGTATTACCTTCTTCTAAATTAAGCCTTGGTACAACCACTTTCAATCTACATGATTCTTCCGCTTGTATAAGAGTTTGTTTTGCATCATGTTGAGTTATAGGCGATGAACTAACACTGGCAATGGAATTAGAAACACTTAACTCACGTATTGTACAAGTCCTTTTAGGAGTTCCTCTGGCTGTTAGTGCACTTTTCAAGGGAGTTTCTCTTTGGGAACTCAATTGACTTGAAAGGCCTGACTCAGGTTTTTCATCCTTAGGAGATGTCAAATAATTTTGTACACCACTTTCTGTAGTAGTTTCCGGATGATCCTTGCTCTCAGTACGAAATAAAGCATTACAAACTGCATTTTTTACTTTTGCATCACCTAACAGTCTTTTGGCAAATCTAGGCGAGCTTCTAGGTGAATCTCTGCAGATGACTTTGGACGGGGTGTTTTTCACTATAGTTTGTGCATTACAAACTTGCAGATTAGACACTTCTCTTGAAGCATTCTCTCTTGCACTATCACTTTTACTTGGAGTCCTTGTTTTACTCTTAGCTTTTGCTTTTACCGATGAATCTGCTCTGTCGACTACTTTATTGTTCATTTCTACGTTAGCTATTCTATTACTCCCTAACACAGGCTTATCAGTGTCAATTTCTTTCATATATAGTTTGGTAGTTTTACTATTAACATTCAAATCACTGCTTATATTTTTAGACACCTTACTGACTCCACTGCTGCTGGGTTGGTTGAAAATTGTCTCTGCCATCTTCAAGCTGTTGTTGTAGACGAGCGCCATGTGTTCTGAAGTTGGGTCTGAACCGATCTCTCGGACAGTGTAAGAGCTGAAATCAACATTTTTTACGTTAGTAATTATCTGTTTGTGAACAGATTTTGAGGGAATTTCCCATTTAGGGAAAAAAGCTATCATCGTAGGTCTCATGGTAAGACATAACCCACGATCCGATTTATATTTTGGTTTGATGTCCCCAGAGGCACAGAAAACGTACTACTATAACCCAGAATGCCAACCGCATGGTAAAAAACATTAAGTGGTTTGAGGAAGCTTTGCCTGTCAATCCGTAGGCAGCGCCACCAGCGTTGCCATGCAATAGCATAGCAACGCTGGTGGCGCTGCCTACGATTGACAGGCAAAGCTCTCTCAAAACACTTAATGCTTTTTACCATGCGGTTGGCATTCTGGGTTATAGTAGTACGTTTTCTGTGCCAGAGGCCAAAAACATCATCCGTTCAAATTCATATATATGTTATAGACATTATGGTGATAATAAATAACATTAAACCTGATGTGATTTAAATAGGGAATGAATCTGACATGCTTAAAAAATATTTAAGTGAAAATCCAACCAGGGGAATAGAATTTTGCTTAGTCGGCAAGTTTGCACTTACAAGAAGTGTAAAATATGAATGGTCTAGATCAGGGCTTTCCAGCCAACGAGCAGAGGTTTTACAGCCCGCAGAAAGCCAGCATAGGCTAACTAAACTAAGTTGTTTTGATAGCAAACACTGATGAACTTCCCCCACGATCTTGTTAACACCAGGGTTGTGGGGTTCTCGGTCATAACGTAATCGTTTCCAAGGAATTCAGCAACATTTGTTCCCATATCTTCATGTCTTGGCGATAAAAAGAGTTTCAATTTAAGTTAAAAATTCAATAAAGTAAATTTTGTAGTACATATAAAAGATTTATGTCATCCTGTGTTTTCATTAGGCCTCTCTGGAATTTTTGAAGTTAACCAAAGTTTGTTTTAAGGAAATATGGTGAGTAAAAATTAAGCAAGAAAATCTCAAAAGCTACCACTAAACTCTTTATGAGTTTCGTGAGTTTATGGATGGTGGGGGCGTGAACTTTCTGCACTGAAATAAGACTTGCCCACTTTCCCTACAAAAACGTACAATGTGACCTTTGAGGATAGGTTTTTAAGCCCGTGGTCAAAAAAAAAAACCAGAGAAAACCAAAACAGCCAGAGCCGCAGCTTAATTTTACCTGAACTGTTTAGCCAGAGCCAACATGCGCTCGCTGGTGCTACCCTCTCCGTCATGCAGGTCTGCGCCAAACCTCGTGAGCCACAACCTGTGGCATGTACGGAACAGCACGGTCATGCACGGACGGAATAACTCGTGGCTCATCCTGATCCCCTCCTCTCGCAGGGCGTTGGTGGCAGCCCACAGCATCTTCTGTTGAACAACAAAGAGTCATGACTTTTTACTCCCTCCCCCCCCCCCCCTATACATAGTACAAGGAGAGTAGGGCATACATTGTTTATGTAAAAATTTTCGAGGGAGTTTTGGTTGGAAATATCTATTTTTGGGTCTCCCAGCACAAAAAAAATGGGTTTGATACATTTTATGTGTTTGGAAGGATTTTTATGAAATTTTGTATGTGAGAATACGGTAGTATACCTACTACAAATCCATAGTATGTCCAGGTTTTTTAAATTTATTGTTTATTTTGATTTTTAATTGTGTAATTTCCCATTTACCCCATAAAAAGGCAAAAAACAGATTTTCACAAAACCGACTAACAATTTTGATTTCAATTTAGTATTTTGTTAGTATTTTTTAACCCCAAACAAAATGGCACAACCCTCAACCCTGTAAAAAGTACAGTTTAATTCTTGTGATTGTCCCCATATTTCAGAAAAAATTTACAGCTACAGACTGTGTAGTCTTAGTCAAGCTCTTAAAGTGTTAGGATGTTCAACTTTAATATAATTTATTACAGCCAAACATTACAAGTGCAGCTATAAGCACACTAGCACTCGCATGGAGATTGTAGGAAACGCATTCATTTGCCTCAAGCTATACTCGGGCTTGGTTTCAAAAGAATGCCTTTTAGAAATCTTAGCACACATGTCAAAGTCTTATGGTTAAAGCAAGGTAAACCACTAAAATAATTACAGACGAGACTGACCTGCTTATGGGTTCCGCTCAGAGGTTGCGGCTGATTGGCCGTAGGAGGTGGTTTAGGCGGAGGCACTCGAGGAGGGGCGGAAGGTTGCAAACTCTCTTGGAACGACAAGCTCCTGTTAACCCGCTTACGAGGACTCACCCTCTTCGGCATCGGCCTCTCTCGTTTGCCAAACTGGTTCTTTTTCTCACTACTCTCGGCAAACAAATTCCGCTTGGATCTCTGGACGCAATGAGTGTTTGGAGTTTTGGACGTCGGATCCTGATCTGGACTTTGGAACAGAGCCCTTTTATAATTGCTTGACTGGGTTTCACTCTTCTTCTTTGGCGTCGGTTTCGTCTTCTTCACTGATCCCTTTTTCTTCTGCCGGTTGCCAAGTTTCCTTTAACAAGAAATTAGAAAAGATTATGATTAGTTGTAAAAGAATAGAATGATTCATTCCAAATTTACGCTATTTTTGTAAGACTCATGGCTAAATTCAACTATTGTGTATTTTGAATTACTATGACTAGGTATAGTGTATGTAAGTTTGAAAACGTTTAGGCCACATAGGTCTACATGTATTTGTTTCTAATTTATGTGGGCCTGATTGTTACAATTTTTTTAGGAAGACAGCTTGATTAAATATGAAGAAAATTATCATGCCATGACTATTTAAATATTCCCTACAAAATTAAATGTCAGTCAGATAATTTAAAGTTCGACATTATTTTGAAAGACTCTGTTGTAGGCCTATTTCATAAAACAGTTTTACACAGACAAACAGTTTTATACAGGGTGCGGCAAAAAAACCTAACCATTTTCTGCAGCGACAGGTCGTCTGAGGGTGGTGGGAGTACGCTCGTTGGAAAGCTTATACAATGCCATTTTTTGTAGTCATAGAGCAGTGGTCGTTATGAGCTACGTGCGGTTGTTATCGAGTCGTTTTTAAAAAGTTATGATTTAGTCATTGCAACTCAGTGGCAGTTCCGTACTTTTATTCAATTAGGTCGACATAGAGAGGTTCCATCGTGATTATCTGTATGGATGATTATCAAATTATACAGATTATAAATCTATTCCTTAGGGATGAATATTAACCTCAAGATTCGTATAACTGAGCGGTCAGACATGTTCAAGGCAGCCGCTTGTTTTCAGGCTGGCCTACGAGGACTGTTTTCCACAGCAGCACGAACTCTATTGAATGTTTGTTGTCTGGCGTCCGATCTGACTTTGGAAGCCCCGTCATCTTCCTTTTCAACCCAGAAGCCGTTGTTCTAATGTAAGTAACCCACCGCATTATTGTGCTACAGAACGGAACTCCTCCATGTTGCCTTAATTGAAAGAATGCATGAAACTGCCGCTGAGTAGCAAGAATGAGTTCACTATTTTATAAAAACTCCATAACAACCGCACTAGCTCAGGCGACCACTGCTCTATGACTACAAAAAATGGCATTACATTCCAACGAGCCTACTCCCACCACTCTCGGACGACCTGTCGCTGAACAGTGCTCTACAGAAAATAGGTCGGTTTTTTTGCCGCACCCTGTACTTAATTTTTTGTAATAGGTCAAGAAAAATTTTGTATTTCCACTTTTGTGATCAAGATAAATATTGATAAATATAAATAAAAATATTGATCATATACTATCTTAATTTTTTTTTTTTTTTTTTTTTTTAAAGTGTCAAATGTCAATTTTACTGTAAACAATTGTACTTTAATGTAAAGTTCAACTTAAACAATTTCTTGTACTGTTCTTCCCTAGTGAAATAGGCCATGTGGAGTCATATTTTGTAAGGAGGAAATGATACCTGACCCAGATAAAATTGAAACAATTAAACTACTAGCTATGTAAAATCTGAGACGAAGTTCTATTCCTTACTTTATCATCTAGTGTTCTAGCCAATTACTTGGCAGTAAACATCGATTTTCTTTCAAAACGTTTTTGAATACTAATGGTCCTGATAGGAGTAGGAAGCTGCTTCGAATAGGGGTGGATTTAATAAAGAACACAAAGTTAGTCTTAGTATTAACTAGCCTACCTACCTTATCAATTCAAAGACAAGCTTCTTAAAATCTAATCAATATTTTCAAAGATGTTTTAAAGCTTTTACTAACTAGACTTACTTAATTTCCACCATTATCATCTTCTTGTCCGGATTCTTGTTGCCGGCGACACTGCACAGATTGGCTGATGAGAACGCCTTGCGCCGGCGCGCCAGATGGCTGAGTCGCCGACCTGGACTGTGACCCCACGCTCGATGGCGCGCTCTTTTGCGAGCGCTGGCAGTGCACAGCGGACTCTTAGCGAACAGAGCATTGACACAGGACGACGTTTCAACTCCCACGTACCTCTCTTTGTACCGAATACTCAGACGTTCCAGCTCTTCACTTGCTGAACTCTTGTTGTAGCTGAAAAGAAAATAAGTGGTTATAAATTTGGTAAATCTAAGTTGTAGGAAATAAGAAAATTTATTTTATTTAAATTTTAAATGATTTGATCTTGTATTCTAAAATTAGTAACAAATTGTTATTATACAAATATATGTAAGAAGAATTCAAGAGATGGAGAAGGTGACGTACGATGATTAATATCTATAAAGAAAACCCTCAATAGATATTTCTATATTAAGTTTTCCCAAAGACTGTTTCATGATTAATAAATAAACAATCATATGTTTCCTCAATTGTTTTTGGTTGAAAACAAATAATAGTTTCAGTGTGTTGTTTTGTTGAATAAAATAAAGAAGGTACCTAGTATTTGTTAAAATTTATTTTGTCATTTCTAATGTTTGATATTAATCGTCCGTGATATCAAGGGAATTGAATCACGTATAGTGACGATATCAAAGGGGGAATGAGAGGGTAGATGGTGAAGGAGAACTATGGAAGAATCGGAGAAGATGGAGAGCCTAGTTTACGCCCAGACCGTAGAATAGCCATTACAGAATAAAGATGGGGAACACAGTTTTTTTGCAATAAAAGTTAAGAACCTTCCCTAGCTTTTCAGTAATAGGTGAAATAATACTATTATTACTGTCACCTATTTTTTCTCAACAAGGACGTTACAGCCACAATAACGCGTTAAGGGGGGTTGCTCTTAATAGGAGCGCTATTTCACTTACTCAATACAACAGTTCAGATGATGTTAAACAAAAATAATCGTTCTCATTAATCTAGCACTAAAGTACTACTATTCGTGATGATGATAGAAAGATGCGAAGTAAGGTAGAGTGTGGGCCTTCAGTGCCCTAGGTCCCGGGTTCAAATCCCGCCAATCACCAATTGATTTTATCTATGTGATAGAGCCACAACCCTCAAGAACTACCCTAAAATAATGCACATAAAGTGTTCCCCAATAAAGTGTGCACACTTCCCTCTTCTCTACACAATCTATAAATTGGCTACCCTCTTCCCGAGACGTTGTCATCCGCCATCCATCCACAGCTTCCGCACATGTGTCGCCTCTACTCTCTAGTGTTTCTTGGTCCAGGACTGGTTTCATCCCGCTTGGACTTTTGGTGAGTCATATTACCCCTTTTAAAGCCCCGTGTACACGTAGCTAGTTAACTAGCAGCTAGTATTCGCTGCTAGCACTAGCTGGGCACACTAGCGCGAAAATTCCCATCTACACGTGGCTAGTTATTAGCGCTTATTATTAGCGTTAGTCATGTAGAAGTGAAGTGTTCATTAGTCCCAATAGTCATTTCAGTTTAGCGCAAAATGTCTTTTGTTCCCTTAAATCGAAATATTTTTAAACAAATTTTAAGAATTGGTGTACAGGAGTTGTGTGAACATGAACTTAATAAAAAGAGACGATCTGTGTGTGTTCGAAAGTGGATTAGGAGGCGAGAACTTCTTTGTGCGTCCAATACTCTTTTAAGAGAACTGGCATTGGAAGACCCTACAGAGTACTTCAAGTTTTTGAGAATGAATGCTTTAACGTTTGAAGAACTGTTGGAACTAATCATTCCACTGATTAAGAAAAATGATACAGTTACGAGAGAGGCTATAACGCCAAAAACTAAACTTCAAATAACTCTGAGGTATTTGGCAACAGGAGATTCATTTCTTTCTTCACAATACTTATTTCGTGTGCCTGTTACCACAAAACCTGTTACCACAACAAACACTTCTACTTGTCAGACAAACGACGACTGATGCACTATCACTGGCGAGTGGCGAGTGGCTATTAGCACTAGCAGAAGTGCAAATACCCCGCTAGTACCGCGCTAGTTCGCTAGCGCTAGTGGTCACGTGACCACCCCCTCCACTTATTAGCGCTAGTATTATCAAACATGTTCAAAACGACTAGCAGCTAGTAAAATGCTAGCGCGCTAGTATATTTTTACGCTAGTAGATCGTTTACACGGAGCGAATTTACTAGCGCTAATCAACTAGCTGCTAATACTAGCCTCCACTCGCTATGGAGGAAAACCCTGCGCACTGTGCGATAAGAATTTTCCACATTGGTCATTTTTGGCTCTTCCTTGCTCGTCACAAATATATTTCCGGCATCAAATACCAAAGCTGAAAGCGCACTGTACTATTAGTGTATTTCCTCTGTACCCTACTAATCTGTATTTAATTGTAGGATATTCTACTTACTATACATCCCAATAATCAAGTTGTAAGGTTTCTGGCCATTTTGTAGCTTTTGCTACATTTTCTTCCTGCTTGCACATACTTGTGTTGTTTTCACCTGAAAATTATAAATACCTATTTTGAAAACTGATCAAACCAAATGACAGCCTTAGCCTTCATTAAAATTAGTTTCATACAAAAAAGACATTGAAATCAGAGGTGATCATGCCCCTAAAGCCAGAGGCCCTATTCCCCCCCCCCAACCCCCTCTCAAAGTCAGAGGAGCAGTTCCCCCCATTTTATTCTGCCCTCTATAGGCTATTTAAACCTCCCCCCTGCCAATTAACTTGGTAATTTCCATTACCACATAAAACAAAAATTTCCAAGAATTTAGTAAGGTTGAGGTAAAGAAAAACAAACTTGCGGACAATAAAAATGAAATGTTTAGTAGGACACGTCATTTAATAATACAAAATTATATCTATTTAATGGAGAAATTTGAACTTTTTCAATTTACAGTTCAGAATCTGTATTGTCAGAGCCAACATGTTCTCAGTAGGCCCCTATTGCAATAGACAATGTCTTCAAAACGTTAAAAAATATAGGCCTACTCGGTCCATTACTCTACTCTAACACAGTGCTATTAGGTAGCGAACATTTTTCCAGGGCTTAAAAATTCAAGCAACTTTATGGGTATGAATAATACTTTTGCAAACAGTATTTTGTTTCAAAATTAGACATAAAATTAGGCTATTAATAACAGTCATGAAATAGGGTGGATTAGGAGGGGTTGCTCGACACTCACAGGCTGCCTTCTACAAAAATCGCCAGGCAAAATACCCGCAATACCTTAACTACCACCAACACGATGTTTTTGCAACAAAGTTATCTTATAATTCGTTTTGATAGCCCCAGGATTGCATATTATGACTAATAATAGTAAAAACGTACCTTGTCAGGCAACCCTTATCATGTAGTTAGGCCTACCGTAGGTAGTGTTGAATTTTACTTGCTACATGTTTCGACAGTTCTTTAACTCCACCATCGTCAGGCTTAGAAAAGAATCCCCTTCTGGAAGTTTTGTCAGAATATGTTACAAAGATTTAACACAAAACACAAAACGATTACAGATAAGCCTATCAATTCACGTGTGTAAATTGCAAAGTAAACTGAATCAGGTTATGACGGACCAACGTAGACTATGGATTGTTGTCTGCGTTATCAACTGCTGATTTTGGACTATTGTAGTGACGGACGAGTTTTTAAAATATAATGGGATTCATAATTAATTGAGTTTTTCATTTCGTCATAACCTGATTCAGTCTACTTCCAGTCCTGTCCGTGGCAATGCACACGGGTGATTTGATAGGCCTCTGTAATTGTTCCGTATTTTGTATTAAATATTTGTAACGTATTGTGACGACACCTCTAGAAGTGGATCCTTTTGTAAGCCTGACGATGATGGAGTAAAAGAACCGCCAAAACAAGTAGCAATTAAAATTCAACACTGTCGTACATGTTAAGGTACGATGTGCATGGTAAGGGATTGTCTGATAAGGTACGTTTTTCCCACTATTATATGTAATCCTATTTACACATAGCAAAATGTTGTTGGTGTTAATAGATAACTACTTAAAAACACTTTTTTGGGCTGCTTTTACAAAATTAACTTATACATTCATTATGGCAGTTATCTGAAAAATTCCTCCCCTCCCCCAAAATACCAGTGGCGCAAGTGCACATAAAAAACAATGATTTGTGTAAAACTTACGTTTTTCAGGAGACAATGTAACTCTGAAGGACTGGTTTTCCCTCCATAGCTTGAGGATTTCCCGGCAATCGAGCTGTGGTACAGTGAAAGCCGGAGGAGGAGGAATCCCCATCAACACTGTTTGAAAACCTTTTAAAATTTTTTCCTCTTTGTTAAGCTCGACAACGCTCTCCTCTGCATTCTCTTTGTTACTGTTGTTTGCCAAGTCTGAAACAAGATTCATGAAATGAAATTTAACTCACCTTTGAAGGAACCTTTCCTTGAACCCACCTTTCCTTGAAGTGTTTTCAAGTTCCGTTAGGTTAGATTAGGGAGGTAGGCCTAAGGTTTAGGTAAGTTAAACCTAATAATGGACCAATTTGTTAGTTTATGATAGCTCTTTTTTTGTTTTGGCCTAACTTAGTTAAAATACTGGAGAAACTGAAAAATAACTTAACTATGCCTAGTATAAAAATAAGTTAGCCTAGTATTTTGCATAGTCTATGCTCTCTCACTGACTCTCATTGTGTAAGCTATAAACTTACACAACTAACTTCTTATTGTGTTGTCCTGCTTAAACTTAGCTCATTGTTATCTTATGTTAGCCTTGTATTTTCAAATAGGGAATCATAAAACAATACCTAACATTAAGTTAGGCAGAAAATAAACAATAAGGAGTTTGGGCCTAAAGATCCAGGCCTACCCTGAGTAGCCTATCAACTTTCAGAGGACACGATATGTTAGGCTGTGTAGGCCTAAGATTAGGATAGACCTAGCCTAAGTTAATTTAGGTTTTCAAGTCTAGGCCCTAAGGGATGGTTACTTCATCTTTAAAAGATAAGGTTGGGATGTAATGCATCTTAAATCTACTGTTAGGCATATTGCAGCTTAAATCTATTCATTATTATTGCAGCTTAAATCTTTTCTTATTATTGCTGCTTAAATCTAGCCTATACGGTACATTATTATTTTCATACCATAACTTGTACGACATTTATGTATAAACGAATTGGGTTTACCCAAGTAGATATTAATTTTGATCTTTTTAGATCACAAAATCGTATCATCATGGTTCTAGGCTTAGGCCTACCTTCTTCTTCCGGGTCTTCATCTGACTCAAACATCAATGGGGATGGTGGTGCTCTGGGCCTTTGCCGATTTTCTCTCAAAACAGAAGAACGTTCCATTTTATTTGTACGCTAAGAATAATGATTTTTATGATACCATGAAATACAATATTCATAAAATGTTTTAACACGACAACAAAACTGACAAATTCCTACAAGCTTGAACTCAAATAAGTTACCGTACCCATTTCAAAACATATCTGTTTACGGGTAAAATTTGCTCAAAAAAGGGAGTTAAAACTTAACAATATTTATTAAAAATGTAGGATTTAAAAGCAATGTTAACGTCGTGGGCGCATTATCTAACGTTAAACCCCCGTGAAATGACACTTTTTTAAATAAACAAAGCAGAAAAGCGACCGTTCTTCCATAAGGGAGAGTTTTAGACTTTGACTTTAGTTAGACATATGATTATTTTTGGCGGAATTATGCTTCAGATGGATAGAGTATAATAGGAAGATAGTAATGTGCCACGCGCTGATTATAAGAAGCTAGCTTCTGTATTGCCGTTATACTACATTAGCAAATTTGTTTTAAAAGAATTGTTTACTGTAACCATTGAATATATACCAAAAGTGAATCCATAACGAAATGGTATTAATAGCCTTGTGAGTTGTGACTCGAACAATCTGATTTAATTAATCGCAAATTCAATAGTTTGTAGCTGTAAATGAAATAAAAAATAAGTATCCAGGCTGGGAAACTGGAGGTAGGCTACCGGTACTGCGTACAAATAGTACTGTACTTGAGTTTTGATAACCGGTAGGGGGTGTGAATCAGTTTTGTATAAGACTGGGAAACTCATGAGTTTGTCTATCAAAGTTCCCTGGTAGGGGTAGACCTCTGATATGAGGTAGCAGAGTTTTGCCCCCCTCCCCCCGCGAACTTTGAGTCACACAACATTAGTTGAATAAATTAAAGGTTAAATTGGACGTCCGTTTTCACGGTGTTGTGGAAACTTTTAAAAGGTCTTTCTCTAAAAATACACACATTGTACAAAATTAATGATTCTCACAAATGTCTACGTCTGAACAGGGGGTAAAATATCCGAACCGTACATCGACAGTTGTCTAAACCCCTAGTTATATGGACAGAGGGTAAAATTCAATTCCGGCTTTTATTGCTACTGTCATCTAATTTATCTCACTCTGTTTATTTCCATTAGACTTCCATATCAACGGGAGTAAAATATGCCACTCGAACAAACTTGAGGGCGCTAAGGTTACTACGCCACAATGACGTCAGCTCCGCTCTAGGGGTAAAATTCCGGCGGCCCTCACTGCATCCGGCAAGTTCCGTATCTACTTTAGTCTCTACTCTGTGTACAAAAAGTGCTAGTTTTTCCAATGTGTCGATTTCTGTTCTGTTTCCTTCCTCTTGGTGATGTTCCAGGTGGTCGCGTTGCAGAAAGTCAACAGTGCCGGAAGGTCAAATAATTTATACTTATGCCGATAGGTAAAAAACTACAATGTTTGCAGTGTCTGTAGATAAAAAATCCCAGTAAGTCAATAATAATAATAATAATAATACAGTCCGTGCTAAAAACGTAGTCTATGTTAAAGCGATTTACACATTGGAACTTATATTTTATCGTATTTCGTCATATTAAAACTGCTGTTGCATTAGGTCAAATTCCCAATGTGTCAATCGCTTTAGACTACGTTTTTAGCACGTACTGTATTATTTGACTTACTGGGATTTTTGATCTACAGACACTGCAAACATTGTAGTTTTTGACCTATCGGCACAAGTATAAATTAATTATTTGTCCTTCCGGCACTGTTGACTTCCAACAACATTCCCTTCCAGGTTCCAGTCCAGTGAGCTGAAACCCTACTGGACTGATGCTGTTTTAGGAACTTGTCCTCTTCACTTCAGCCAGTTCGACTCACGGTGGAAGTAAATCTTACTTCCATTTCACCATGGTTCGACTCATCATTGAGTATGTCCCTTAGTTGCGATTAGCTGTATGTGCTATTAAATTAACAGCTGTGTCTAAGGAATATGTCGGCCTTAGTCACTAACAAGACTACGATCGCGCCACTCATATGATATCCTCATATGACCATCCTACATAGGATGGTCGCTATTTAATTGAAAAGTATAAAGTACTTTGACCTTCCCAATAATCCGTAACAACATTTCAATTTCGGTTCTCGGTACCGGTGGTACCGATAATCACTTTTAGGTAGGTACCAACAAGTCATCACCGTTTATCATACACCGTTTTCGTTGGTGTTGTTGCACCTTGCTTACAGTAATATAAAAATTTTTTACTAGTAAATGTTTTAATTTTCAGGAAATATGTCAAGTTTAACTATATCCCAATAGCTTCAATAAAATTGTCAGTTATAATGATTATTCGCTGAGTTGGTGTGTGTTATACGTTATACTTTATTAACAGGTAAACTAAAACTACCTAGGCTTAAATATTAAACTGTGCCGTTGCGACTGTTTTTGTCAGTTAAAATCAAGTGTTTTAGGGTGATAAATCCATATAATTAATTCTGACAAGACTTTTAAAACTGACAACAAATGGTACTTTTGACAGTTTTTACTACTGATTTGTTTCAAAGAATATTTTCAAGTTATTCCAAATTACATGCACGTTTACAAGAACAGTAACTGTTCAAAACAAACATTACAACTTGAAATAATCCCATTTAATACTGTGGGTAAAAACAGCAGTGAACCTCAAATCCATTTCAGCGTCAGCCTCCGAGTTATTACATTATTTGGACGTAGGATAAATTAAGTTGTCCACCTACATATTATAAATTTTTACCATAAACCTTTTTGTTGCATTTTAATATTTTGGGAGTTTAAATATATTAAAAAGCAATAAGGCGTAGTAGGACAATATCTTGTTAACTCTGCCACCGCAATATTGTTAACCGATCTGACAAGTGCCTCCTCGTCCTTAGGGTTGCAAACTTAACTGGAAGAAAATTGGATTTTAAACTTGTTACTATAACTAGAGCAGTACAGCAACTCAGGTAGCTTAGATTAATGGGCTTAAATTGATATAGTTAAATAAGTATCCAGACATAGACCCCTATCAAATCTAATAATGTTAAACATACCCTTACAAAAACCCAAACCCAAAACCCAAAACGATAATAGTCTGGAAACCTTCGTTAGGGATTTTCAAACTTTGGCGGGGTTGGTATTATATCTTGTCACCTTTTTGGTAATTTAGTACTCCTGAGAACAGGATCAGATTCCGGAACCCAACGTCATAAATTTTTTTTACTAATCGTGTTGAGATGTGTCTGCAACAATCCGCTAATTTTGCACTTTAAATATGCAAACCATTGACGACATTATGAAATTTCCTAAGTATTGACTAACCGATTGTAAGCCTACGCATAGTTTAAAATTTAAAATTTTCTTTTGAAGCACTGTGTTGGCTGAAAATGTACATTTTACATTTTAAAACACATTTACAGTTTAACGTTGTAATTGCAAGCGCAAGCCACAAGGGAAGGACTCTTAAAAATCATTATCATGAAATCCTTCAAAGGTCCTTGAGACTTTGCCTTTGAAGACGTCGCAGGAACAACAGATCCTTTGATGTTGTCGCCTACAACCTTGCCCGCGGATTGAGAGGGAAGAGGAAAAGTCGAGGAGTTTTCAGGACTTATTTGGATAAAGACGTCTAACCGGAACGCTTCTCTGGATATTTTAAAGAAAATGTCCTCTTTGTCCATTTTGTTTACGAATAGAACGAAAATAAAGGCATTTTGACATCATTGGTCCAGAGTATACTAAAATAGGTTAGTCTAGCTTGGGTTTGGGTATACTCTAATATTGTTATCGTTTTTAGTAGGAGCTGTAGAATGTAGATGGTGTTTACATAAGCTTTAAAAGAAACACAGTCTTTTTAACCGATTTGTCTTGGACATAAGTGTAAAAACTACAGAGAGTATACGTAGGCCAGACGGTCAAAAAGAATCATAGCCTGCATTGTTTTTCTTCAGTAAAATTGTTCCGGATTTGGTATTGTTATATGTGAAAAATAAATTCATTTTTTGTAATGAGAACCAGAGTTGTACCGGCATTGCAGGATAAATTATTAAACCTACATAAGTTTTAAGAGCTCCTTTAAAATTATATCGATTCGAAAAGCTGTAAATTAATATCGATGGCAAGTAAAAATTAATAACGATTAGTCATAATGTCGAGTTTACGTCATTCAAAGGGCTATTGTGATTTAACCATAGAGTAAACATACCCACCCTCAGATTTATGTATGAATTAACTGAAGAACTTTAAGGGTTGGACCTGTAGATCCATCTGGTTTAAATATAGCGTATTTTAATTTTGTTTACTACATTGATTTTGTAATTTAACCAATTTTAACACTATATCAACTGAATAAAAAATTTTGTTTTGGCTATAAACTATTAGTGTCCTCTGGTTTTAAAACAAAAGAGTGAAACACAAATCGTGAAACCGGTGAAACCTACCTTGCAACCTTTGCACCATTTCCTGTCAATACTCAATAGTAAATAACAACCCAAGGTCTAGCCTGAATTGATGTGAAAACAATCTCTGGTTTCGTGTCTAGCTTCCTAGGGGACAAATTGACAATTATCAAAATTTGTAAATGTTGGTTTCGTTGCAAAGCAAAAGTTAGTTAATAATAGTGTTTTATATCCTTGAGGATGAAGATTTGCTCGAGAAAACCAAGTAAAAAACAGTATTTCATCACTAGTGTTTATTCAGAGCTATGCACATGATCTTCACTGTATCTCAATAACTGAACGTTTTTCTTTTGTAGGTACTGTGTTTTTAAAGGATATATTAAATAGTAATACATAAGTAGTTTTAACAATTGAAAGTTGTCATAATTTCTATAGCTTTAAGGCAGTACTAAAGCCTAATTTTTCACCAATTAATACACAGTGTAATTTCCATAACAATAATAAGACCCTCGATAATAAGTCAACCTCGATAACAAGTCTTATTTAATAATCCCCGTTATCTTGTTATCGAAGTTCAATTAATTCCAAACAGGTCACAATAGATACATTATGATTTAAAAACACTATTCCCATTTTCACTCCAAATCCCAGAAATTACCTTTGTTCATAGGTAAGTAGCTACTGTCATTAGATTTTTCTCGACAAAGACATTCAAGTATCAATTTGCTTACAAACGCGACCGCACGGGGCGGAAAGAGCGCCACCGTCACGGATACTTTGGTGGTCTTTGATGTTACGCCACGGTTTACCGCGCTAACCCACTTGGTAAAGACAAAGACATCAAAAGCTTCTTACAAAGCCCGGCAAAACTTCAACTACAAAAACAAGTGATTCGGCTCTTTCTTTCGCACTACACTTTATTC